TAGCTGCTTTCCCTCTAGTCTTTCACTGGTAAATTAGGGACGGCTAGTGCAGATAGCCATCATGTAGCTTTGTGCGAAATTCAAAAACAAACAGACAATACACTATAGCTTATCACAGTTGAATCTAGAGCTTTAAATTATTCTGTTTTTCGTCAAACGTCCACATAGGCTGGTTCAGTTATTTTAGAACACCCTTTGATGAGACAAATTCTTCTTCAATATCTTTGTTGTTACAATACAAACTGTAAAACTCACTTTAGAAATCGCGCGTTATAGCTATATTCACACAAAGACTAACTACACTTTTCTTTCAATTTCACTAACTTAACTTCTTCCTTGTATCTGCACGTATTTATAACACACAACAGAAAGCCCCCCAGTGGTACAGCGGTATGTCTGCAGACTTACAACGCTAGAAACTGGGTTTCGATACTCGTGCTGGGCAGAGCACAGATAGCCCATTTTGTGGCTTTGTGCTTAACTTCAAACAAAGGAAGAAACAAAACAGAAAAATCTAGCCCTTTAGAAACAACAATATTAAATATAATGAAAAACTTAGAAGCTTCGAGTAAAATGACATCAACAATATTACAAAAGCCTGGTACAATAATCAAACAGGGTTAAGTAACAAAACTTGTCATAACTGTCGCTTTTAAAATAATCAACCTTTAATACTCTTGTTATGACAACTAAACAATCATTAAATATTAAATCATCAGTTCAACTAAATAATAACTCTTAAACTGAACAGTATTGTGTATCCAACAGCGCAAAATCTACAATTCTATGGTTTCCATCTCAAGCTCTTATAAATTGATAGTAGTGAGGGCGCTGAATTATTCGAGTTAATCACAGATAAGCAGAATATAATGACTGCATTATCTGGATTAGCATCAAAGTTGGTTCTTCTTGGTAATGGATACTTAAATTACAGATCAACGACATGTTTGCATTATCTTTCGCCAATACAATAATTACAAAGAAAAATTTGTATTGTAGGAAACTGAGAAACTTTATGAATACAGAGTTGTCTTATAGAAAGTTGGTTTGTATTGTAGAAATACGTATAAAAACCACGATGATTCTTTGTAAAAATTTGTTTTTATAATTATTTCTAATGGTTATGTGTGTCAATAACTTTTTTTTCAAAAATCTGGTTGACACATTAAGGATAACCAATGGCTGCCGGGGAGTGACGTAGGGGGATCAGCGTTCGGATTTGACCCCAGGGTCCCCTATGTCTTCCCAGTGCGTTGAACAGGAAACTTCAGCTAGTGACCAATAATTCAGAAGTAATAATGATAAAAGCAGAGGTTTTCCTAATGATTTGTTTTAACTGCACTATTATATTTTAACATCATAATTTTTAATACGTGATGCCTTGTTATACTTCATATATACAGACCTAGTAACAAATTATCTAAAAAATGAAGAATGTTCTAGTAAACAGATTTATTTATCAAATCTGAAATGGAATTTTATAATCTTAAATATGTTTTTAATATTTATCCATTAAATTTACTTATATAGGTGAATTTTCAACTGCACAAATATTTTTACAGGTGCATAATCTGTGATTAACTGTACACTAGTAAAACTCCTGGATAAAAGTATTGTAAAGGTATTGATAAAAGTAGTGTAAGATTGTAAGAGCATGTATATTATGTTGAGTATATGAACTTTACCTTTATCAAAGGTCATAATCACACACGAAGATTATGCTTTACGGATCTAGGCCTGAAACGTTAAAAATATAAAATAAAAATGTATTTAATTTTTTACTGATACATTTCATAATCATACTGGAAAAAATATAATTATACGTAGATAAAATGTCATGTTAGCTTTAGTATGTGAAAGTGGAATGCTAATATCAAGTTTAAAAATGAACGTGCTTATGACGTGTCTTTAAAGATGTGATAATGAGCTTCCTTTACAAAAACAGGGTCACTTATAGCCTGGTCAAAATGATCATGTTGATCACGTTTATTGATGTTGATTTATATTACTGCGTTTATTGGCTGAGAAATAAGTGGGGTTCGAGGGTTAAGTACGCTGTGACGTTCCCCTTTTCAAATCTCCGATATATACTGCACAAGCAGGACATCCTTATTAGATGGTCAGTTCGTTTTGAAATTTGTATCGATAAAGACGGAAAGGTTTCGTGCTTCCATAAATATTTTCAAATATATTTCGCAAGCGACTTATCTATCTTACAAACCAGTAAAAACCATATATAAAAATGAGACATATATGCGTTTTCTTCGTTGTTCTTAGCTTTGGAAAAGTATGTAAAACTGTACAGTTTTCAGGTAAGAGTTGATAGACACTAAAGTCTTGAAGAAAAGTGTATATTTGATATCTAGTAACTTATTTCAAGTATTTGTTTGATATTCTGTTTGCATAAAGTGTTCATATCACAGTGTTTGAACTGCTTAAACTTAAAACAAAAGTAATAAATTATACATCATTTATGGGTACGTTTCGAAAGTAAGAGTTACACTACTTATGAGTTTCGTTGATTAAATGAAACCTCTATCTCTGTATGCATACTGTGTCAAACACAAATTTGCCCACATGCTTGTAGTTTCTATTCTCGTTGACATGTTGTTTCTTAACGTCATATTACTTTATTTCAAAATTGTTTGTTATATTTTCTTTCTTTTATAACCTTTTTTTCTAAACTAAATTAAGTTCTAAAAATGCATTGTTACTAAGATACACAAAGACGGGTTTTATGCCCCTAAACATTGAATTGAAGATGTTTTGCTTGAAGTTAAGCACAAAGCTGTGTTCTGCCCACCACGGGTATCGAAACCCGATTTTTAGCACAAACATACCGCTGTGCCACTGGAGGGCAATTGAAGATGTTTGGTGTATATAACAGCAAACTACACGTGTGTGTCTTCTTTTCGACGAACGCACTATAGGATTACCTCTCACTTTTGAGTTTCAAATTAGAAAGGTGTTGGCATGGGCGTCCTCAGGGGGGCACCCCCTTGAAAATGGGAAACATAACTATTTATTTATTCATTCAGGATAAGTATATGAATTTACAAGTTTTTTTTTTTTTTTATTCACTTCACAATTTCACACTACTTTACCTTCTGGAAAATTTTCTGCGGACTCCCATGGATGTTGGGTTTGTTTTGTTTTTAAAGCAGCCTTTGAACAGTTTAATTATGTCTTATATCCATGTGTATCCGTTTCTGTAAATATGTTGGTGAATTATAGAATTTCGTAGGACTAGGATTATGATCCTGGATGCTGTTATGTGAATTACAATATACACAGTCATTTGTCATACTCTACCACCAAGTGTCTGAAATTTACAAAGTATAAATATACAAAGATCAAAAATGTGTTTTCCTTTTGAAACAGATGAGGTCTCGAATGGATCTGAACGAAATCGATACCGGAGGCAAGTGGAAGAAGTACTGAGTTCCCGTCTTCAAGAATTTTTAGGTAGGACTCGGGAAAATGAAGATGGTACGTTCAACCCTAGCCTGATTATACAAAAATTTATTAACGATCCACTTCAGATTCCAAATTTTAATATCAGCAGTGACACCATGTTTTTTACAGTGAACGGACAACTGTGGGATATGAAACTGCATGGACTGAAAGAGTTGGTAGTGAAGAGGGGTCGAATGAACCTGGCTACTATGGAAGCAAGCGTGGAGATGTTTGTACAGTCGTTGAAGTTGGAAGGAGAGTATATGTTGGATGGGTCAGTAACATTTTTCTCCATTGATGGAGGAGGTGGAGGATTTTGGATGAAGATTTCAGACATTGCCGCTTTCGGGCGGGCAAAATTGAAGATTGTAGCTGGAAACCAAAGTTTAGAAGTGGATTCTGTTCATATTGATATCGAAGTGTCCGATATTCAACTACATTTCGAGAATCTTTTTGGAGGAAGTGCGTGGTCAAGCATCAGCAACAGTCTTCTTAACCAGCTCAGTGGGATGATTTTTGATCAAGCGAAACAATCAATACTGGAAGAAATAAGGGAGAGTCTACGCGAAGAACTGAATACACAGCTACACCACATTCCAGAGGGTTTTATCAATTCTGGGTCGACCACCATTTTTGATGACACGTTGAGGCGAGTTTCCATGCACTTAAAGCAAAACAATATGGACCCCTTTAGTCTTCCTGATCACAAAGAAGTATTTCAAAAAAAGTTACTGTTTTTTCTCCTCCATGGTGAGGCTCGAATCTTTAATGGTATTTTGAGTGGCTTGTCCACTCTTCATCGGACAGGAGACGTATTGATAACCTACGAAAATAATGCTGTTATTGTTGAAGTCAATATAGGCTTTAGCAATCTCACAGGAGATTACAATTGGTCAGCTAAGCTCATGGGTATTGGTCCTAATGGACATGCTTCCCTTTCAATTCGTTCCATTTCAGTATACCTGCGAGTAAGACAAGAGCTTCAAACCGGTAGTAAACCAGTTATTAAAGCATTTAAGATCGCAAATATCCGCCATCTTTGGGTAGACGTGCAAGGTTTAGGAACAATGGATTTAGTTCTCCAGATTATTGTTAATCTGATCACCAATTCACTCAAAATGACTATTGCTGATGCAATAACTGGCCCAGTGCAAAAAGCAGTACAACAAGAACTAAATTCTTTACCAATAGAAATAATATAAAATTCTTTACTTTTTCGTTTGTGTGGGAGGGTCAGGTAGAAACAAATAAGCTAGTATTTCATTTTGATACGAAATGACAGACAGCAACATGTTTTTATCAGTCTTTTATTATCCGAGTTAAAACATATACATAAAAGAAAGTATTTTACAAAATTACTGTAGTCTTGTGCAATGTAAAACGAGCAATTAAAGGAATTCAACTGTTTAGTGAATAGCACTCTTCAGTCTATGCTAACTTTGGCAGACAATTTGTGAACAATAACAACAAAAGAGACAAATATGTATTTTGAACAGTACAAACATTTGACAAAGTCATTGCATACATGTCTATATACATAGCTATAACAGTATTAACCTTTACCTTTGATGAAACAAAGTCCACTTTCCGTAAACACTCAGGGCTTGAATTGAGGAGGAGCGAACTGGAGTGCCGTTTCTGTTGTAGAATGTCCAAGTACATGTTAGATGAATTATCACTGTTTTACCAATTCATGTCGTTTATGCCACAGGCCTATTTCATTGTAGGCTTACTTTGCGACATGTCATTCTTCTACATTTGAGTTACATTTCTGTGTCAACATACATTGTGACGTCATCAAATAATCGAAATAAGAGACTTTCGGCCCACGGACATATCCCCTTCATAGGGGCTGTAAAGTGAACTTCACTTGATAATTTTACACAACTCAAGCCCTGAAGACGAGTTACAAGTATATAAAAAAAGATTAAAAGTCTAAAAATGTGAAAGATTTATTTTATGTTAAAATAAAAGCAAACAGGAAAATAGTTGAGAATGAGTATTTAAAAAAAATGAGTTTTAACCACATTGGGCCCCATTTCTTTTCCCTTTATTCTTAACACCTTTCATACGTATAATTCGTTATTAATGGTACTAATGCCTCTGTCTGCCAATTACGCATCAGTTTGGATGTTCGAATCCTGTCCCCGAACATGCTCGCCCTTTCAGATGTGGGAACGTTATATGTGATGGTCAATTCCACTATTCGTTTGTAAATAATAGCACAAGATTTTGTGGTGGGTGGTGTTGACCAGCTGCTTTCTCTCTAGCCTTTTACTACAAAATTAGGAACGTATAGCACAGATAGCCTTCGAGTAACTTTGCGCGATATTCAAACCAAACCAAACCATTACACATTAAAATCGCCACAATCAAAGTCAGCTACAAAATTAGTTTTCCAGAATTATTTATCACAACATTAAATATCAAGCTTCATCTGTCTGTGAAAATTTGTGTTCCTTCCTTTAGCTAGTTAGAGGATTACACGATTGTTAGAAGGTTCTAGTGCTTCAAGTTTGCAAGCTCAGCCCATTGCGTAGCTTTGTTAAGCCACAACTTCTAAAATATTCATAAAAAAAACATGTTTGTTTGTTTTTTTCATCAGGCTATTAATTAAAATTCTGTATCTATCCATTGAACGGAACCGTATCCCATAAGTGGTTTGAACTTCAGTGTGAAATCGTTTTTTTAAAGTGTTTTTGAGTTAAAATGGATTTGTTTAGAATGAAGGTACTTAGTCGATACTATGCACAGTCAGCTCTTGGGCTGTACTTTCTTTTTACGAACGAAATATGGATTGACCATCACATTATAATGTCTCCATGCCTGAAAAGTAACACTATTCGAACTTGCAAGAGCCCTAACTATCACGCCATGCCAGGTAGTTAAGTTGGAATATACACTAATTATAAACTGCAAGAGTAAGGAATAAGTATGCGCAGAAAAAAGCCTTTCGTTTTCCATGTATATTCCGAGATACCTTTGTCTTATATATTTAAAAAGCCATCGTGCTTATACACTATTTTTCCCCCTTCTTTTTAATCAATGCTAGTAACTGTGGGACAAAATTATGTGGTAAGTCATTTTTACATTGCATTGCACGGAAATATGAATGCAGTTTAAACTTTGTTGATAATTTGTAGTTAAACC